GTTGGGAAGACATAGTAGGGATGACACAAAAAGATTTTAACCTGTTCCCTTTCCAGCAAAATAACTAAAGGCTTTTTTAAACGATTCTTACGACAAATGGTGTCAAGATGGCAAAACGTGTTATCTGAAAAGCTGTTGAAAGGAACTTCATTAGTCCAGTATTTTTTAGGTATTAAATATTTTTCGGAAGGATATTTATCGCATTTTGTTAAATGATTTGGACAATTTTGCTGTTACACGCAGTATGCACACACACACACATATTTATATATATATATATATATATATATATATATATATATATATATAGTTGGTTTTAGCTTTCCCCAAGCGACCTACTATTAGTCTGATCATTTGTATATTTTATCTCGTTGCCTTGTTTTGCCTATCAATCTCGAGCAGCTACAGCTAGCACCTATTTGACTGTCCCCAACAATCAGCTGTCTTCTACAAGTAATTACATGGGAAAGAGAGAGAGAGAGAGAGGAGGGAAAGAGAGAGGGGCGAGAGAGAGAGATCCATGCAAGCAATCCGTTGTATAAATATCTTAATTAATTACAATTAAGTTTTCTCGCTGGTAAATCAGACAGAGAATATAGGCAAACACTGCCACTCTCAGGAGTGTAATTTCTTTCTTGTTCTATCCATGGGCAAAATAAGTATGCATATATATATATATATATATATATATATATATATATATATATATAGTTGTATATTTAGGCAGCAATCCTTCGTTTATGCATGTTTCATTAAAAACGACAGACAAATTACTACGGATAAGCTTTTCATTTAATTTTTCTTGTGTTCGAACGAGAGCTTTCTTTTCTGGACAAAGAGTGTGTAAAAACTGTCGAAATGTTTTATAGTTCATGTGCTTTCGGCTATACCTTTAGCCATTATCAAGGTTGATTCGATTTTTCAGCTTAAATGAGTGTGTGCATTATGTGAATGTTTTAGTGTGTTGTAGAGATGTTTTTATTTCCGAATACGGTTAGCACATTGTGGCCTTGTTCGTAGTTAATATTGTTAAGCGTTGGCTTTTAACAATATTAACTACGAACAAGGCCACAATTATTCAGAAATAGTAATGTTCCGCCATTTAATATGTAGGCACACCTTTCGTCGAGAAACGAACGAGATATTTAAAACAATTAGGTTTAGGCGCATGTACTTATATTATTGGCAGTTTTTCAATGATTATTGTCATATAAATGTTAAAAATCTTATCCTAAATGTATGAATGTATTTCTTTTTCATGCATCAATAATTTGACACAAAAATTTGTACGTAATTCTGATCAACTCTTTCAGTTAGTTTAGAAGTAGAGTCGAAATGAAATTAAAATGTTGGCTCTTATGAGATAAGTACAGATTTTATGAAATCATCTCTCTTTACACATACATACACAGACATACACACATGCAAACATACACAAACACACACAGTGTGCGATGAGTAAATTTTCGCCATTTTATATTCTTCATTTCGCGCATGCGCGTTTTTTGCTTTTGATTTCGTCGACTCCACAGTATAATATGGTTAGTTGGGAAGCGATTTGCGAGAAAAAGAGCACCATGAAACAATTAATTCCGCCAGAAATTTTGAAACGGCATGCTTTACTGCTTGGCATTCGCGCCGGAAGCTCCAATACGATCATTTCAGAGTGCAGATGACTGAGAGTGATGAAATCAAATATCCCGTCAACTTAGTGTCCGTCATTAAATTTTAAGAATTTTTTTTTTCAGACAGAACTGTAATTTATTCTTCTCCATTTTGATTCTGCTTACGAATGACGTTACTAAGCATCATTTCTATACTTGCTTTGCTAAAGTTACTCGGGAATATATATATATATATATATATATATAGGACGCTCTAAACTTTAAAACGACATGTTTGGAAAAATATTCAGAAATCAAATAGCAACAAATGAATGCAATTGATAGAAAAGAGGGAAGAGACCCCCTGAAAAAATAGGGGGAAATAAGAAGTGAGTGTAAAGTGGAAAACAATGAAGAAAAGGACAAATAATCAAGACACCCTACATGTAAACACATCCGCTCAGACAGACGTCAGGGTGGACGCACACGAACGTACACGCGTACATAAACACACTACGATAACAACTTGCACCAATGATAAATGCATATAACAAAAAGAAAAATATTTCTCTCTCTCTACATATATATATATATATATATATATATATATATGTGTGTGTGTGTGTGTGTGTGTGTGTGTGTGTGTGTGTGTGTGTGTGTGTGCGTGCGTGCGTTAGTATATGTGTATGTATGGATGTATACATTTTTATATATGAAAAAGAGTGTCTCGTGATTTATCGCAATCGTCAGTCCATATATATGATGACAATTATAAATGCTAAATTAACATTCAATGTCGAAATGGTAATAATTCGCCATGCCACTCTTCTTAAAATCAATATAAAGATGACTAAATATCACACATTACATAAAAAATATAGGCTGGTCTGAAGACATTTCCCCACATTTTCATTCATGTACATATATATATATAGATATAATTTTAAGGTGTGTTATATTAATAAATTAAAATGGTCAATATCACGAATAGACTTTGAAGTCAACATCCACAGGCAACAGTCTGTTTCATGCTTAAAGCAATCGTCAAGCAAATATATATATATGTGTGTGTTTGTGTGTCTGTTTATATATATCTATCTATATATATATATATATATAGAGAGAGAGAGAGAGAGAGAGATCAACTATGAAAACGGCTACACTCTGCTGACTGCGTTTGTAAAGTAAAAATAAAATGTTTTGTATGACTATATAGATATATATAAAAGAATCTACATATTCAGTTAAAAATACAAAAAAAAATCCTTGATAATGACTAATACAATAACCAAAAACGCTCTGATATATAGAATATTCGGAGAGTTTTTACACACTTTATATCTAGTAAACCCTTATACAAATTGAATAAATTTTCATTAAACTCGTATAAAAGAAAGACTGTTACCTAAATACACAATATATATATATATATGAGAATGAATGTGCGTCCATTGACGATTCCGTTTGTCAACTTGTGTATATTTTTTAATTCTTGATTTCGACGACAAAAAATCTTATTATAATACGAACCAATGTAAGTCATATTTACTCACCCGTATTAATTCGTTGACATTTTTAACTGCTTTTATATTACTTTTTTTCGACAGTGATTAAGTAGCCCACGACAACACGCACGCGCACACAAAGGTAGACACGTGCAAAGACACACACACACACACACACACACACACACACACACACACACACACACACACACACAAAAGAAGATAAAAAGAAAGGCGAAATAAAAATGAAATCAAGATACCTGATCCTTACTCATCCGTTTGTTAAGGATCGAGATAACGTTGCTATTCATCGCCCGAACGTCTTGGAGACGACGTGGCATTTAATAACATTCGAGCGTCGACATATCTTGGAAACCAAAATCACTGAGAACATTTGCCAGATATAAACCGAAACCGCTTATCGTTTGACAGTTTTATGACCTGAAACGTTGTATTTTATGGCGGGAATCCGAGAAAAAAAAAAACGTGTTGCCTCATGGGATTGAAGATTTTTACTATATGTAACAAATTTAAAATCAGAAATAGCACTGTGAACACTACATGATTAATAACGCACACTTTTTGCTGGGCCTGTCAACTATTACCTTATTCATTCAGTAATAAATCAACAGATATTCGAATAACTTCTAAAACATTTCGTAAGATATTCATTTTGCCAAGATTTGATCCTTAGACTGTCTACAATCGGGAAATGAACTGTTGTCTTTGTTTTTAATGCCACAATGTTTCAGCCGTTGTTGTCATTAGCCTTCATCCAGGTAATCGTCACAAGATTTCGAACTCAACCTTTCATTTCATATAAAGGCCCAGAATTTTCACGTTCCGACATCCTTATGTATGTATGTGTCGTTTTGTACTTTTTAGATTTTATTTCTGGTCAGTAATCGATAGTCCTGTTTGAGCTTCTTCTACCTGACCTAAGATATTGAACACGGGATTACCATGCCACTAAATTCACGAACCAAATCTAGTAATATTACCAGCACAGAGACACACAATCCCATATCCGAAATCTTTGGGGGCGGTTATTTTTTGGTTTACCGTTTTTTTCATTTTTCAGAAATTAAAGCAATATGACAGCTAAAACGTGTGAGTATTCACACCACGAGGGATAAAAAAAAAGATTACAAATATTACTGCAGTTGATTTATAGGGTAATATATTTTATGCATAGCTGGCCACTCGTATTCGAGGATACCCGTCTACTAGGGTAGCTAGGCAATCCCTATTGCAGATGCTTGCTCAGGTACATTTGTTGTTTCTCAACATCTACAGGGCCAAACTCTGGTTTATACTGCAACTATACTGATCAGACCTTAGTTACAGTTTCTGTGAAAGAACGTGTTATCTAGCGTGATCAACAGTTTGAACAAGGCTAGCACACTCAAAGCCACGACCAAGATGACTTGTGACTAGCACAGGTATCGACGGCCACCAAGGGTACCGTATATCCAATTTCACTCATAAGGCTTGGGTGAAGTGGTATGGTCTTCAGGCACTTCCCAAAGGGGCCACACGCCGATAACATCAAGAATTCTTCTTCCTGACAAATCGACCATGGTGAGATTCGAACCCGGGTCTCATGGTCAGAATGCGAAGATTCTAACCTCACGTGCCTCTCTGTCGCTCACTAAAATATACGTACCACGCCTGCTTCTCTCTCGCTCAATAATGTCACTTACTGGGCAGTATGTTGTGTGGGTTAAAGAAAAACTACAGTCTGTAGGTATTGTAGTTAATTTTACGGTGTGTAATGTTTCCTTATCATTCATTTATAGTCATCAGATTCACTATAAAATTTAAGTAACTTGTCTTTTCGTTTCTTTAAACTTTATACATTGCTGGTTCTGACACTATATTCCTCAGTGAAATGCCGCTCAGGAACACCGCTATCAAGCTTCTGAAAAACTCTTCTTTTTGTCTTAAAGTTAACGGAAGATGCTTTCTTTCTTTCTCTCACTGTTACCCATAAAGTTATCTACAATTTTTTCACAGTATAAAGCCACAGAATTACGAAAAGACAAAAAATATCAACGAACAACAGATACACGTCCACTCAATAAGAGCACTTGACAACAACTGACGTTTGGCGGGCTACGGTCGCTCAGCCAACGCTGTAGGTGTGGTGCGAAGAGTCGGGCTGATCATGGCGCCTATTGCTACATCATAGCTAAGTGGCGTGGTTAAGAATGTAAATTTTTCCTCGCCAGTCTTCACACTAAAAGTATTCGGCTTCCAGTTTTCAAATGTTCTGATATGGGATTTCGGTTTTCAGATGTTCTGGTATAGGATGTTATCAGAACAAGATATTGGCGAGTACATGATAACGAATACAACCAACCCCAGTAGATTCTGGAGTATTGCTGCCATATCTGGGCTGTAGGTGTCCAACAATCACTTTCCAGCCTTGCTAGAGACCAAAACCGTTTACGCGGACTTGTGGGGCATTTTATATTTTCCAACATGTAACCTCTCCCTCTTCGACCATACAACGCAAGCCTATCGCTATTTCCATAGCAAAATTTGGTGTGTGCTTTGTTCTTCCACCAATGTATACGTTTACAGCTAAGACCTGTATTCCAGTTGAAAGGAAGAGGTTCAATTTAGACATTATTTTTTAATGTGCCGATTTGTTGAAAAGAATTCCACGTGGGTGCTACTCGAAACACAATAATCTTAACCAATTCAAGTGAAGAGAGAATCTTTACCTAACCTTCATATACACCTAATCCTCACTTCCTACTTCCAAATTATTATCACGCGTTTCATTCACTAACCCTCTACCTTGAAAGGCTCTTGAAGGGCGGAGCTCACAACGACCCATACATTGCGATGGTAACAACAAAGATGAGAACAATAGTGAAAATGTAATTTCTGATACTTATACTTTCCAGAAATTCAGACACCTAAAAAATCGAATTGTTTTTCTCTTTCGGTTGCATAAGAAGGATTTTAGTTTTAATTAACTCAAAAAATTCTTTGGATTCTAAGATTTTTTCATGCCAATATGAACTTGTTGAAAATTTGTCCAACCGTCACAGGTAGCTTGTTTTGCTTGAGAGATTCGTTTTGTAAACCTTGCAAATCTTTGCAGGTCATTTAAAATCAGAAAGTATTTTTAGATTGTACGAATTATTTTGTTTTAGATAATAATTGTTTAGTGATAAAAATAATACTAATTTAACCCATATCTGGAGGAGAATAGGTGGAGCGATCATTTATCAAGTGTATCTAGGCAGAAGTAAATATCACGAACCCAAAGACAATTTGAAGTCGGCTCATCGATTAACAATTCCATGCCATTATCAATTACACTACCACACAACCAAGCTTACATTGTCTAGTATTTTCAAGCAAACTCCAATTTAGGTAGTGGGCAGTTGTGATATTGCTTGACTTCAGTAATCCAATGGAAGCCGTGTTTCAAAATGATGTGACCATGAGCTCATAGATAGCTTGTATATTTATTTACACTATATGAACTGAAATTATGCGGATTTCTCAGCTGAAGCTTTGTAACTTTAGATTCAGTTTTCATGACAACGAAATAAAAGGCATAAGCCTTTAAGTGACTATTGCTCCACTAGAAGAACATAGTTTATGCATGTTCGCTTTATATCAGAGGAACATTAATCTTTTATCATTTCATCGATTATAATCGACGATATCGCTACAGCAGCGATGGCTAGACGGGAAACGATATGGAAAAGAAACATCAGCTTCCAAACCAAGTTCAAGCCATAAAAATCGATGGCCGTATCTATCCTCCTCTACAGGTGTGAGATTTGAACCCCACTAGCTGAGACAGGAGAACGTTTCCAGGTGCTCAAGAACAAATGCTTGAAGAAGTTCCTCTGCATCTGTTTCTGGGAATACAACACCAATGATTACGCACCGAGCAAGGTCAAAAGTCTGGTGAGCCGTCACGAATCTCTCGTTGCAACTATTAAGCGTCGAAACATGACATGGTTTGATCACGTCGCACGGCATAACAGCTCCTGAAAGGCCATCATCCAAGGTTCTGTTGAAAGCAGACGCAACTGGAGACGGCAACGCAAGAGTTGGTCAGTGTAGACGGACATGGAAAAGTCGGAATCGTGAGAACAACCACCGATGCGTCATCCTCGAAGTGGGGGGTTGGCTGTTTCTTCTGCCCTCCGATTAAAGCAATCAAGAAATTGGTTATGTTGATGATGATGGTGATTGTGATGGCGATGATGGTGATGATGATGATGATGATTATACAAGGAAACGATAAAAATACAATATGTGCTTACACATCGAGTTAAAATACAATTTATGACTGTTTAGTATCTTAAAAATATGTCTTAAATAGGCTCCGCTAATGAAACAGAAAGCACGGTGGTTTA